TTCGTGATCTGACATACTGCATACCGGGTTTAGCTGTGTGACAGAGGCACTGTGGCAGACACAATCTGGGGGCACGATAAAATATCATATAAAATCCTGAGCTGGTTTGAGGTCTCGACATGTCGTCTGAATGTAGTGCGACACGACGGTCGCGACATGTCGTTAATTATCGGATGGCCCAAAAGGATTTTATAGTGGGCCTATTATGGTCCATTCTGAATGAGAGCGAGGTGCAGATCACTTTCTCATTTCAAACAACACAATACAATTTCTATCTATTAGTTGATATCTGCAATATTCCACCTATGTACATAAATACTGACAAAAATTGGACTGTCCCAGGGAGAAAAACTAAAAAGCCCCGGTAATTAAAGTGAACCTCAATGTCGCGTCATGTCGTGATTGTCGTCGGAATATAGTGCGACAAGACGGTCGCGACGTGTCGTCAATTGTCAAAGCCATAAGACGTGTCGTTCACCAGCTCAGGACAATATAGAGTATCACGAGTAGAGAGAGAAGGGGCGTTTTTTTTTAGAAGTGAATACAGAGAATATCAATATGACAATATCCAAGAGGAGCCATTTTGTTTTGTTTTTTCCTGTGATGAAATTGTGTTTGTTTATTTTTGATTGTTCACAGCAGGTTTGTATAAAATTGTTCTTTTTTCTGAAGGCATAAGTAGTGAGTACTCAGTACTGAGAGTGTCAAGGACAATATGTAGTCAGTATGTAGTCACTTTAAATGAATATAGAACACCAAACAGAGCATTTGTATGGAAATTTATATAGTATTAATAATACAGACAATTGTCTATTTTTGTTTGAAGGCTATGAGACTATGTACATACAATTGTATTTATTTTTTTAATTGAACAGCTTTTTTATAAAAAATATAGCTCGTCAGTCTATATTCTATAAACTATGTAAATAAATATTTAGAGTGGAGCGAGGCGGAATACCGAATCTGACGTCAATCGGGAATAAATAACTGTTAGATTCCAATGGTGGCATTTACACGACCCCATAACAGTAAATAATAAAATAAACATCGACAAAAAAATCCCACCACAAGTATTTACATGCTGAATGCTGAACTGTTCTCCGTTCTGAACAAACTTTTTAAAAAAAATCTTAAAGAAATAGAAACGTATAAATAGCAGGCCAAAAACTTTGTATGTCGCATCCAC